ATAGATTCGAGCGCGTATTATACTTGTATGGGTGGAAACAATTTGGCCCGTGTCATCGGCAAATATTGCTAAGTGAATAGGTTGCAACGTTTGCCCAATGTATTCCGTAAATTCGCGCGTCAACGATTTGCCCGGGGACGCGTCGCCAATTAATGCGATTCCGCGAATTAAACTAATAGACGAGTGGTCGACTGATTTCGATATTTCATCGTCGAGCGGTCGAACGCCGCCGTTTCGAACCAGGCATTCTGTCGAAAATCCCATCCCCCGCCGTGCGAATTTCCTGATGATTTTCAACCTCGTTTGCAGACTGCAAAGACGTGTCCGCCTTCGAGTGGCTGTCACAGCTGAGATTCTACTGGGACAAAGACATCGACGACTGCATCGTCTGGCAGACGAACACGTACTTCGTCTACGGATACGAGTATCTCGGAAACACGGGACGTTTGGTGGTAACACCGCTCACCGACAGGTAAACTATACTCAGTTTCAAGCGATTTACAGCGGCAGAGCATTAACGGATGAAGGAACGAATATTCCTGGAAATAGGGAGATGCAATTGTTCGACAGGCTCGAGAATTCTCTGTAACGAGAAATACTCTAGTTACGGAGGGAAGAAATTGAATATAAATATCATCCTCGTATCTAAAGATCAAAAGAAATCTTCCAACTTTTTAAAATTTTTTTTTTTTTAATAAACAATCATAGATTGGTTCTTTATAGAAATCTGGATGTCAGAAATTCCATGGAAACATGGATATAAAAACGTATACAGGAATTGGATATAAAAAATTCATCATGAGATTTATAATACGTTATCATTCCCTGGTTGCACTTATTAAACATTACAATACAATAATGCAATATTTAATGAAATGATTTTCACTATTTTTTAATCGTACTTTTAAATCCATAAAAATATAAAGAGTTCATTCATTTTGATTTTCTATAAAGATACAAGATCATACATTGATGGTCAACGCATGTAAAACATTAAGCTACGTAACACGGATCGATCAAAACACCTGCCTTAAGAACAAGTTCTGAGTTAGGTTTATAAATCATTCGTTACCATACGGTTGGCAACAGGAAACAGGGTCACGCGATTCCCATTACAAATGCGTGAACCATACACGCCAGTCGATGCTGTGATACGGGATAATTAGGTCAGGAGTCGCGACGATTACCGATGGCGCGCGAGCTTACAATTACGTGCGATCTCGTTCCACTCTGTTATCCTCGAAATATTAACTTTGTTAAAGTTAATGAAACAAAAACACGTATGACTGCAATCCAGCCATTCTCTGAGGTCCGGAATCGCTATTAATCTATTAGCCAAGATACCACCATTGTTAACTGATAAGCTTGTCAATCTTGCGGCTACAGTAATTTTCTTTCGTTTAGCTGTAACTCGCTCTTTGAAAATTTATTTCAACATTGATTCATTGATCAATTGATTAAATACATACGTTTATGGCAAGAATATGAATAGTGTAGAAGTTAATTATCTTTCACTGAATATACACTTTAGTATTACTTTCTTCGACGTATCGTGATGATTTAATATTATTCCCAGATCTTGTCGATATAATCAAATTTTGTTAATACATCATGATATTTTGTTGTCGTATAAATGAATGTGAATCATGATGATTTAATATTAGCCTCAAATTTTATGAATGTAATTGCTTGAATATTAGTCTCACATTTTACTAATCTAATCGAAGTGAAAAGAAAATGTGCGTGACTTTACGATATTTGGAATAAAAAAAAATTACCTAAAATATTATTTAAAGAATCTATTAAGCGGGAAATCATCAAATCCGTGGCAATGAACGGAGAAGTCATTGACCTAAGCGAGGGTAATTCGTATTCAGTGGCTGTTTCGCGTGTGTCGTTCCCTAATCGAACGCTGACATCCGAGTTTTCCCTCATAATTGATGAAGTTAGAACAAGATCCAAAGAGATCTCGCCTCTTCTCTTCCATAGGGCTGCAAGAGCCTCGTTGATTAACGTTAATTACACCTTCGCCGATGTTCCACCGGCGAAAATTTGTCGCTCGAGCGTTTCTTCGCGAAAACCGTCCACGAAGTTGCCTAGCGCAACCAACTTTCGAGGATCACACTCGCCGTCTTCAAACCAAGAACTGTTGATTAACGTTGATTACGCTTTCGCGACTTGAACTACCTCTCGAGAGAGACGTCGAAACGATCGCTCGAATTTTTGGCAATATTGACGATTTCTTTTTTCCGACGATAATAAATCGATTATATCTAAGCACCTCAAACTCTTCGGCTGCTTAAAATTAGTGTAACGAATATTTATTCGACATGTTGTAAAATGTTATCCTCTTTGCAAGTGAACCAAGTAAACTGATCGTTTTATTTTTAATTTATTTTGATTTCAAGATTATTTAATTCGATTTTTGCCATCGTTCTAAAATTTTCGTCACTTTCACACTCGAGAAGTTAACTCATAGAAGTTAAGAACAAGTGAAAAATACGTACAATCGATCAAAAATATCTTCGTTAAAATTTATTTAATTGGACAATTTTAATTATTAGGAAATGAATACAGATTTTCTTCGCGCTAATGATGATTGTTGCATTTCTAAATATCATCATATAAGTGTTATTTGCTATTCTAATTTTGTTAAAATCAAGCAACGCTAAATAAATTTAGACTGATTGTGATCATATTAGAAATATTCCTCATTTTAATGTTTGTTTCTTACTTTCAAGTAGACACAGTGGTAAAAAAGATAAATGAGACAGAGTCTTTTGTTAACTGTAAATACTAATTACGAATTTCCATTCAGTTACATATAACCAGGTCATCAGGTACATCCAATTTCATATCACGATTTTATTAGAGAGAGAAAATAAAATATGCGAAATTAATAGTAACAAAGTATATAAATAATAGTTAACAGACATACGTCGTGAGATACAAACCTTTATTTTTCCCCCTGAAAAAAAATTATCATCACTTAAAGTACACGTTGAAGTTAACAAACTCAACGGAAACAAGTCTCGGAAAAAAAAAAAAATGGCACGCCGTTCCAACGCATAATGCGACAACCATAGAGTCGAATTTAATCGCAGCCAGATGAAACCAGAGAAAATTCACGAGAAGAAAATCCGGGAAGCGGAATTTCCTTGGTCCGGCGACGTGGATATAAACCGGGCTTATGTACAGGACCGCGTAATACACGTCGGTTAGGATGTGATACAATCTCTCACGGCGGTCGTTATCGAGAGAGAAGAGCAGTTTGCACGACAAGGAACATCAAAGGAAACGGATCGAGAGGGTTTGGTGGATGGCAACGCCAGCTCGACGGAGAATACTTAACACGGTATCGATTTAATCGCGATAAAAGGGTTCGAGCCGTTCTAATTTATGGAGAAAGCTGGCCGCCCCGATACATTTGTTCCCCCCTGCCCTCCCCCGGCGTGGAGAATTTGTCTTGCGGAAAGAAGAACGCGACGCGCCTTCCGAGAAGCACCACTCCTCGTAGTAATACGTCGCGACCCACCCTCGAGGTCGTCGTCGTCGTCGACTCGCAGCGATCGGATTAAACGCTGACGAATCGCTGCGTATCCGAATCCGTCTGGAAACGGACTTCTAAAGAAACTTTTGAAGAAATTATGATTAATTTCTTAATTTAATTTCCATCTAAGGAAATGATAATTTTTAATGAAATTATTGATACTTTTGAGAATGTAATTCAAAAAGCAGGATGTGGGTAGAAAATTATTTTACGAATATCGCAAGAATGAGTAATAATCCACAGTTTTGATGTTATGGAAATAAATACAGATTAAAAAAAAAAATTTAATTCGTATTTACAAAAAATGCACACAATGTAATATAGAGAAATGTCTAGAGTATTTATTACAATATTTAGTAGAAGGGACCAATTTCTATTTAGCTTCTATTTCAGTTTTCTAAGCATTGAAAAATGAATGAAAATCCGTATGGAAATAATTTTTATAACTTTAAACGTTGGCAGTAAATAACACATTTACAAGTTGAAATAACTTCTGGTTCCTGAAGAGTTTCTCCAGATGTTTAAATGAAACTTGCATCGAATATCTTTTTCTGCGTTAAACGTCCTCCATTCTAGGTCAATTATATTAAAATTCAGTTCTCTTTGTGTAAAAGAAATTTCTTGATTAATGATATTAGAGTGTCCGATTATTGAGTTGGGACTATTGAGTCGAATCTTTCGTCAAATTCTGATAGTAATGTTTGTTAATATTAACGTAGTTAATTATCAACGCGAGAGATTTGGAATAATACAAACCCGATGTATTACTAAACTATGACAATATTGTTGTTGCTCGATATGAGATGATAATGAATTAAATTATTTAAATGCTTGTTACATATTCATAATCTTCTACATATTGCACAATAATTTAAATAACTAGTAACAATTTACCATTGATTTAACATGTGCTGGATTGACAAAGTAATTTCTCCTTCGTATGAAAATTCCTAAATCAAACTTACCGTGTTATTTATTCTTCTTTCAAGCTATTCTAAACGAAAGTTCTTTATATCAATAAATTCTTTATATTACATTGTATTTACAATTTATTAATAAACTTAAACCTTACTAATAATATTAATTTAATTACACAGGATGGTACCTTCCATACTTTGTTCATAATTTTTATACAGTGTTATAATATGGTTGTAATAATTTAAAAACGGTGTTGCAATATGGTTGTAATATGAAACACGATCCAGATTTGGACGACCGATAGTTGATTTAATAACTATAACCTATATACAAAATTAATGGCGATCTGAAGATAATTCTATTTCGATGGTAGGTGTTACATAACCCTCACCACCGCTCTTCACTTGCATCGTGGTGGTAGTCCCAAGGGACCGGCTGGTACCGGGAAAACCGAGACAGTGAAGGATCTAGGGAAAGCACTGGGATTCAATGTGATCGTGCAAAACTGCTCCGAAGGGCTCGATTACAAAAGCATGGGCAGATTGTTCTCTGGACTGGCGCAGACCGGTGCATGGGGTTGCTTCGATGAATTTAACCGGTAAATAAGAAAGACTATTCCAGTTTCTTTACCATCTATGACATTTTCCTCTTTTATTTTGTCTGCAACTGTAGAATTAATGCAAAAAATTTAAAAATACAGACCCACATATATATATATATATATTATTATTTTATTTATTCGTTATTTTTTGTGTTATACATATAGTATAACATTAACATTATAGTATAATAATAATTATTAATAATAATATATATATTATTATTTTATTTATTCGTTATTTTTTGTGTTATATTGATATTTTTTGTAGAATTAATTTATAGAAAATTAAGTATTTGGATTTTAAATGAATTAGATGCAAAGTCATTTTAACTTCATTCAGTGACATTTCAAAGTCACATAAAAATTATTTGGACTTTGTCCAGAGTCATTTGAAATTATTTCAAGTTCATTCGAAGGTTCGAATGATATTTAAAAATCAGTGAAGTATATATTCAAAGGTATTTGAATCATTTCTTAGTCCCGTTCGTTCAAGATTTTATTCATTTTAAGATTATGCGAAGATTATACACTTCGATGATATTTCAAATGGATAAAATAAATTGAATCATTCACATGAGAGTGAATTTGAATAATAAACTGATCTGAATAAACAAAATTTTTAGAACTTTTCGCAAAAGTGGAATAATTTTAACTTATGGTTGTCAATTCATTTGTAAATTCGAGAAACTTTTGGCCTCTTTAAGAGCTCGAACATTGAGCTTAAAGATGAAAGATCCTTTCAGAAAAAAATTTCAGGATTATTCCAGATAGATTCTAGAAACAAAGAAATTTCCACCGAAAGGCAAACATGAATGAAAAAAAATTCTCAAAGTGTTCTCAACTAACTCTTGAAAAATAATTCAGCGGTTAATGTTGTAATTGAATTTGTTTCTCTTTTTTTTTTTTTTTTTGCACAATAGTATAAACGTCGAGGTGTTATCGGTAGTGGCGCAGCAGATACTGTCGATTCTCACCGCGGTCTCGCAGAGGCTCACCAGATTCGTATTCGAGGGCATTGAAATATTGCTGGTGCACACCTGCGGCATCTTCATCACGATGAATCCGGGTTACGCGGGTCGCACCGAACTTCCCGATAATCTGAAATCCATGTTCAGGCCAATCTCGATGATGGTGCCGGACAGCAGCATGATCGCCGAGATCAATTTGTTCTGCGAGGGATTCGAACAGACGCGAATCCTCGCCAGAAAGGTTCATAGAATCCACTTTCGTGAATTATGTCCCCTTTATGAAAGTCGTAGCCGT